TGTATATATTGCACTGTCAGTAGGGAGGACTTTTAGTACGTACCTCCTACTATTTTTTTGGGTGATAGAAATGACTATGTTGTATTAAGTTTTTGAGGTCAAATATAGCCCCGCTCATTACACCTTTTTCGGAATACAACACCTCCCAGACCTCCGTGTGGGGTACATTACATTAAAAAAAAAATTAGTAATAAATTATTTTATTGAAACCAGTGAAGTGGTATAATTTTAAAATATATATTTACGTTGTTAGCATAACTTAAACGCTATTAGGGTAATATTGAGGATTTTTGCAAAGGGAACGGAAGGACATGTAGATTCTCCACGGTGAAAACCCTAAGGCTGCAGAAGTTGTCATTTCTATTAATTATCATTTTTATTAAATTACCAATTATGTTGTACACAAAAATTTACTTGTAGATCTTATAAGTGACCTAATTAAATATTATTTATATATTGTCAATGTATAGAACTTAAAACTAATTAGTTAATCTTATTAACATGTCTCCATATTTTAAATTCATCTACAAAAGTCATAACACGTTGTATAGCCGCCGTACAAATAATAGTCAATATATATATATATATATATATATATACACACTCACACAAACACAAAATAATACAAGTTTTATGCACTTTTTTGACTATCAAATATAAATAGTTTCTGGCGTGGGTTAAAAGTGATAATAGCACGTTCCTGCCCCGCGTTGTTGTACTAAACTACATGATAATATATACCTTAACCTTTCAATGGATCAAATCACCAAATAGCTCTACATTTGAATAATAATTAGCAAGGAAATTGCGATTAGGAGACAATGAAGAGGTTGATATTGCTGTCCAAAAACCGATCATTAGGTGAAACATCCTTATAAAGAACTCCAATATTTTGCATTACCTTCTTTGTTTGTAATTTTAGTTGGACTTTGTTTCCCAGAACAGTTAATATTGTAATAGCTGAATTTTATTAATAATATTATCTACATTATCAACAAAAAAAAGGCTAGCTAATTATAAATACGAGTTCAGACGAAATCAGTAGCTTTTGTTTATAGATCCTGTATTTATATTAGAAAATTCGTTAAATATGTATTAGATATTTAATTATGAACTTATCAGTAACTAAGATGAGCAATGGATCTGGTACAAATTTAAAAGCCATAAACTTTAAATTGTTGCTCCGCCCCTACCTCTACAAGGAATGGATTGAAATTTGGGAAATGGTATTAACTATAATACCTAGTGTAATCTCAGGATAGCTGGAGCTCGCGTGCGAATTTTATCGAGTAAAACCAGTAATTAGAGGCATCGGGGGGCGCAACGCTCTCGATCGTCATATTCTCAAACTTTTCTAAATATATTGTCTTGTTATGACTTGCTATCAGTGCTTCTTCCATCTTCTTTAGCCAGGGGTCTATCGGAAACAGTCTCTCTAACCTTCCAGGGTAGGGGTAAGACTGCATACATCCTACCGTCCCCAGACCCTACTTGTGAGATTACACTGGGTTGTTGTTGTATTAACTATTAAGGCGGCGATGAGATTTCACAGTACATAGCCCTAAAGTTGTCCAATAATTATTAGAAAGCTGAAGAAATAAACTTATATTACTTTAATCAGTTTTAGAACAGATGTTATTTTTGGTTAAATCTTTTTTTTTTTTTACAATTCTATTAATCTTATAGTCAAAGTTTGTTAAAATATTTGATGAATTTTTTTATTTTTTCTTTTTGTAAGAGGGGAAATCTGCAGCCGCTACAATCTCTGCCACAGCCTCTGCCCTTCGGGCCTGTGTAATAACCTGCAAACCACACATGGGATGTAAACCGCACTAGTGATGAAATTTAAAAGTGTTTATTTTTAGCAAACTTAAAGGATTAGAACTGCTCAAAAGTATATTAATGGATTACTTAAATATGCACCCAAATATAAGTGATACTTTTGTCATTTTTCCGCACCACACAACTTTTAATGTTTACTAAAGTCTAAGGGAATATGATATTTGCAATCAAGTTAGCCGCATATATATAACTTCATATTTTAATGTTACAATAGCATAGGATATGATATCATAATCTGCATAAAGAATGTTAACCAAATTCAACATAAGCACACCAAACCGGATCCGACTCCTGTCCAATATGCATGCATATTTTTTAAATTTTCTCAAAGTTATATATTCTTCACAGATGTTCCCTTAAATTGTAATTATAATTTAACCATAGAAGATAATTCTCTGCCAAGTTAATTTTCTTAGTTAATCTGGTAAATATGTTCCACTAATCAGATAAATGATACATTAAGTGATTATATTACCAGCCTTTACATCTATTCGTTTCCTTTTCTAGTAGCCTTATGGATTCTAACTATTTACAATGCTAACACAATAATGAATGCTATAGATGTATGATCAAGTTTTATCTAGTCAATTCAGGATTTATCCTCAAAAGTAAGAGCTAATACCTAAGTTATAGAAACTAGGAGTCCATCAAACAATATAGAGAACCAGGTTCTCTATATATTTTCACAAAAAATAAATAGAAAATAAAGAACATACAATATTTACGTGAAAAACTCTCTGCTCACGGGATTAAAAACCACGACCTACCCTAATAGGATTTCAACTTCACTAACTGAGCAAACTTCATATTACAACCTATTGTAATTAGGCATGTTAAATGGGTCGACCCGACCCGGACCCGAACCTGAACCCGTTGACTCTTGGCCCGTGGGTCCTTAACCGGGTCGGTCTGGTTCACTTTCTTATAGGGGTCGGTCCGGATTTGACCCATTAATCAAAACATGTTGACCCGACCCAGACCCGTAACCCGTAATCCCTTAACCCGAGTCCTAATGGGCCGAATCCAATTTAATTAAAAAAAGTTAAAAACTAATAAATAATAAAAATTTCAAACTTCATACATATATACGAACTTGAAATTACTACATGTCCTTGAAGCCAGTTAGAACAAAAATGAAAGAAAAATCATACTTTATTAACATTAAAACTTGAGAAACATATGGAATTCGACTATTTCTATAACTAATAGTCTAAAACATATGGAATTCGACTATTTCGACAAGACGCCTCATAGTGTCTGGTACTATATTCTTTCTTCAATGTTTGAATTCAATTTTTTACCACTTGTTTGAATATATATATATATATAT